TGGTGGTCATCGATAGTCTTCCTCACTGTCTCCGCTGCCTGATCTCCATCTTTGCACATGCTCAATTCATCTTTGGCTGATGCTCATTTCTTCTTTGGCAGATCTTCCAAACCAAACCCAGTATCTTCTGGTACCTATAGTTTTTGTGATAAATAACAGAAGAATTTTGCTTTTGCTAAAAGTAATTAAACAATTACTTTTATTGAGCTAGGCTAAAGCTATTATTAGTACAACGATACAAATTTAAAGAAAAGTAAAAGAATTTACTACTGGGAAAAGAAAAGGGAGGAATTGATCTGAGGAAACACTAACCCAACAGCCCTCCCCCCCCTTCTTGGGATGCTCACCAGATGGTCCATATCAAAGGATGGTAACTCCTTTGCAACGGAATGAGAAAGAACAGGATGGGCCATCTCTGGTATCTCTTGTCCTTGAGGTAAGAAAGGAACTGAAACCACTGAGCCATAAAGACAACGAGGCTGCAAATTAGCCCAGACTTGAAGGACAAGGTGTACGTGACCACAGGACTGAGTTGGCGCAGAAGTAAGGGTCAGCTAGCGAACACAGTGAAGAAGACTACGAGCCTTCATCTGCAGACCCCTGCCCAAGACCACCAGGGAGCACTGCGCAAGCGTGATGGGAGGAATTTGGGGTAGGAGAAAATTTGTTTTGAGGCTCTGGCTTTTGTTACTTCCTTGTCCATCTTGGGCAGTTCAGGAGCCATTGCAGAGTTTTTCTTTACTTGACATTGCTCACCCTCACACCCCAATGCTCCCAGGAAGAGTCCTAAGCCACGTGTGATGGTCAGGATCAGCCTTCCCAGGACCTTTGAGGTCAGGGTTTGGCCTTTCTGCTTCAGGAAACAAATCCAGGGTTTTCTCAGCATTACAGCCACCTGAACAGTGCTTTTACCTACCTGCAATCAGAGCCTCCAACTATCTGCTCTAAGGAGTCCATGGGGAGGCTTTGTCATTAATGGCCCTCAGTGGGGCCAATCAATGCTTCAAGGTACTTTGGGGTTTGGTTCTGACATTGACTTCTTGAGTACTTTGCTCAGGCTCCTCTCAGTATCTGAGGTTCATGGACTCAGGGCCAAATACACACTGGGGCTCATTAAAATACAGAAAGCCCTAATGAGGTATTTATCCTCCTTCCATTTTCTTCAAGCCTTCAAGACTTGTACAGCTAATTGGAAAAGTTTCATAGCGCAGTTAAAGAGGAAGATTTCAAATTGCACCTAATAAAAATAATTTTAAAGGTTCTATTTAATCAATTTCTGTTTAGAGAAGAGGTGATGGAAGCATTCTGCAATTGACATTGATGCAGTGGCTCTCCTCGGGAGGTCTGGACAGGTAGGAAAACCAGTCCCTTGAGGTCTGACACTATATGGACAGAGAGCCTTGCTCCTCACCTCCCCAGCCTCACCATTTCAGTCATTGTCCATCTGGGACTTGTCTCACTTTGCCTTCTATCAGACTGCACTGAAGTCTGGAAGCTGAATTTTCCAACTCCATTGGACCACCTCTCATTTGTTTTCCTTACAGAACTGGCTGCACACAGGCAGAGAGGGAATTTTCCTCTTTGCAGACAAAGAAAATTGAATCATCATCAAGTTTTGTAAACAATAAAACACATTCCCCAGCCGTACGCTGAGCACAAGATTTCTCTAATGGGGTTGCCTTTGGTCAAGGAATAATCTTATGAGAAATGGTTTAGATAGATTGATAGAAAAAGGTAGATATAAACATGATGAAAGAGTTGGCTAAAAGAGACAATTGGAATACTGAAAGACTGGCAGGCTTCTAATTCCTGAAGCTCAAAGCAGCACAATATCTTAGAGTTGTCTGAATGAACAAAGATTAACAGGGAAAGGAAAACTGGAGAATAACAGAAAGGGCCTTTGTCTGGGAAGCCATCATCTGAAAAGATGACTTTAGAAATGGTCATTGTATCAGGACGGGGGAATACATATGAAAGATTTGAGAAATTATATGCACCGCATAACAGGCAGCATAGTGGTAATGAAGTTAGAGGGGACAATCACTATTTCTTTGGAATGAATCAACTGAAGGGTCATGGGATTGGTAGTGGTCTGCTGTGAATGAGGACAAGCCAATGTCGTACCCATCTTTGAAAGAGGCCAAAAGTGCAACCCAGGGAACTCCAGGATGTACAAGCTCACTTTGGTGAGGAGTGTGCCATCGGTTAGTGTCCTCTTGAGTGACTCTTCTGGGCACCTAAAGGAGTGTGTCCTAACTCAGTCAGCATGGACTTACCAAGGGTACTTGTTGGAGAATGGCTCAGAGACAAGGGTCCTGAGCCCACCGAGCAATTGTATGATCAGAGCCTGTTCTAAGGGCTGATGCTGAGCCTCACTAGGGTTTGCCTGCAGCTGCTCGCAGCTGCTGATACAGGAGGAATGTCAAGGACGCTTCAGCCCTGTGTACCAGTGGTGTGTCGAAAACAGGTTAAGGGGGATTAGGAATAGTGGTCTGAGAAACCCAGTGGTATGGTAATGGTGGTCTGAGAAACATTGTGTTACGGTACTGTTGTGTATCGAAAACAAGTCAAGAGGAATTAGAAATAGTAGCATGAGAAACTTAGTGTTATGAGAAGCTTGTGCTGTAAGCTAACTGCAAGTAGGTGGACCGTGCGAATATGACCCTTAGAGCTTAAGCCAATCAGCTAGTGACTAGTAGGCATAATTAGTAGAAGGATTATAAAAGGCTGTAATGAAAATCAATAAACGGAAGCATGCTTTATCACTCATATTGAGTCGGCTGCGTTCCTCCTTGGCTAGGTCCTTGGGGCTCGCCCAGCCCGGCAGGTACCTACTGGGACACATTTAGGGCAGCACAAGGAACTCTGTGCTGGATCCTGTTCAGTTTAACACCTGTATCCCTGACCCAGAGGAGTCACCATGTTTAACAAGGACAAATACCAGTTTCTATACCTGGGATGAAATCATGCCGGACACAAGTATGGACGGGGGAGAGGAGTGGCTGGAGAGTACCCTGCAGAAAGGGATGTGGGGGTGCTGGTGGGCAGCAGCTCAACAGGAGTCAGCAGTGTGCCCTGACAGCCAAGATGGCAGACTGCATCCTGGGCTGCATCAAACATGGCATAACCAGCTGGGCAGGAGAGGTGATTATCCGGCTGTACTCAGCATTGGGGCAGCCTCCCTGTGAGTACCGTGTGCAGGGCTGGGCCCCACAATGTAAGAAGTGCATGAAGGTACTTGAATGTGTCCAGAAGAGAGCAACAAAGCTGGTGAAGGGGCTTGAAGGCACGTCCTCTGAGGACTCCAGGCTTGACTATTTTGGAGAAAAGGAGGCTGAAGAGTGGCCTTATTGCTGTCTACGGCTTCCTGAGGAGGAGAGCATTTGGCAATGGTATCCAGTGATAGGACATGTGGGAATGGTTCAAAGCTGCAACAGGAGAGATATCAACTTGACATTAGGAAGCATTTCTTTACCAAGAGGGTGGTCCAACACTGGAACAGGCTTCCTAGAAAGGTGGTCAACATCCCAAGCTCATCAGTGTTTAAGAGGCATTTGGACAGTGCCCTTAATAACATGATTTATCTTTTTGCCAGACTTGAAGTGGTCTAGTATTTGGACTAGACGATCAATGTAGGTCCCTTCCAACTGAACTATTCTATTCTATTCTATTCTATTCTATTCTATTCTATTCTATTCTATTCTATTCTATTCTATTCTATTCTATTCTATTCTATTCTATTCTATTCTATTCTATTCTATTCTATTCTATTCTATTCTATTCTATTCTATTCTATTCTATTCTATTCTATTCTTCATTGTATATATAACTGTAGAGGGTGGATACCTCCAGGATCTGGGCTCAGACACTGTGTGTCGTCAATAGCTGCCCCTGGATACCAGCCTTTCCAGTTGCAGGCATCGGGACATACAAGCCCTCAAAGCAGCACCCCCATTCCAGATGATGGTATAGACCACCCCAGTCACACCCACACACACAGACTTTTAAGTTCACTCACTCCAGCCACTCAGTTGGTGGCACTAATGACGTGGGCTATCTGACCTCCACTTGCTGCACTCACACCCCCATGCTCACACATTCACACAGAAGAGAGATTCCCTCACACAGGAAGGCGTTAGAAAATAAGTTTAATGAGAAGATAGAATGGAATACACTGGTCAGGGTCCTCCAATAAAAAGTTCATAATAGGTCCTCTGCAGTCCAAAAATGCTCGTGCCCCACATTCTATAATGTGTCCTCCACCCCTAGGCAACGATCCCCTTAGTCCAAATGGTGATCCAGAGAGCTGCTCTCAGTGGCTCATCTTGATGGGTTTCACACCTGGACAACAAGGCTGATGGCTCTCCCAGGGCAGCTGTCGTGGTTTGAGGCTGGTCATCAACCAACCACTGCAGCTGGTCAACCTCCCTTCCCCCTCCCCACCTGGGAATGGGGGAGGGAATTAGAGGGGTGAAGGGAGACTCACAGGCTGAGACAGGAGAAGTTTAATAATGGCAATAAAATGAGAACAAAGATGATGATAAAAAAAAAAAAAAGAAATATATAAACAGGCAATGCACAACGTAATTGCTAACCACCCACTAGCCAATATCCAGCCCGTTCCCGGCCAGAGACCCTGAGATACCAAGATCCCACAATCACAATTCCAGAAGCGATAGAACTCCTTCCCAACCACCCCTCCTCTATATAGTGAGCATGACGTTCCATGATATGGAATATTTCATTGCCCAATTTGGGTCTGGTGCTCTGTCCGTTTTCCCTCCCTGCTACCTGTGCCCTTGCACAGGGGCAGAACTTGAGGAGTCAGAGAGTCCTTGAAGTCTCGGTAGCAGCTGAAAACACCAGTGTGCTATCAGCATTCTTCTCCTACCAAACCCAAAGCTAAATCCAAAACACAGCACTCATCTAGTCCCTGAAAATGAATATTAACTCTATTTCAGCCCAAACGAGGACAACAGCTCTGTAAGGAGCTGGGACAAGATGTTAATTGCTCAGGAGCTTGTAAGTTGGTTTCCCACCTGCCACTGTGCCTCTGTGCTCTTCTTGGTTTGTGGAGATGGGTTCCTGATGAGCTGCTGGCTGTGCTGTGATGGGCCTGAGAGCAGCTGGGGCAGGGTATTCACTGAGTTACTCCTCCTGCCATGGTTAGTGTTTCCTTGGTATGTGCAGACAAGCTTCTTATCACTTAACCTCACACAACCCAAGAAGAACAGAAATCTCCTGAGGCATCTGTCTTTGGAGGTGGCATACATCTGCACTGGTATTACTTAACATATGATAGCAGATCATTGGAATTGCTGTCCAGAAATGCATCATGATTAGGGGAAAATCTGCAGTGTTGCCCGGCCAATGGCTTCACTCAGGGCCGCTATCACAGCCTTGTTTCTCAGACTGTAGATGAAGGGGTTTAAGAATGGGTACAGGACAGTGTTCAGCAAAGCTACAATTCTGTTTGTCTCCAAGGAAGCATCTTCTGAATGATGCATGTAGAGAGCAATGCTGCTCCCATATGCAATAGCCAAGGAGGTGAGATGGGAAGAACACGTAGTAAAAGCTTTTTTCCTCCCCAATGTTGCTGGAAGGTGTAGAATACAGAGGAGAATGCCTGTGTAAAATGCCAGAGTTAAGCATAAGGAAGTCAGTATGACAAATGATACTAAACCAGAGTCTATTTTCCAAAGCAGGCTGGTGTCAGAACAGGACAGTCTGAATAAGGGAGAACTGTCACAAAAAAAAATGGTAGATCTTATTTGAGCCACAGAAATTCAGCTGGTAGATGAAGACCAGACGGTAACTCAGGAGCGTGATGCCTATGACCCAAGCAGCAACAACCAGCTGGATGCAGGGCTGAGGCTTCATGATGGCAGCATAACGCAAAGGCTGGCAGATAGCAACATAGCGGTCAAAGGACGTAACAACAAGTAGAACAAATTCTGTACAGCCCAGGGCAAAATAGAAATAGGATTGGGCAAAGCAGCCGCTTAGAGAGATGGTTCTCCTACCAGAACCCAGGATCAGAAACAATTTGATGCTTGTGGAGGATGTAAACCAGATTTCCAGGAGGGACAGATTGCTGATGAAAAAGTCCATGGGGGTTTGCAGGCGGTGATCCACACACACGAGGAAAATGATGGTTGCGTTCCCCATCACTGTTGTCAGGTAGATGAGCAGAAGGACCAGAGAGAGAAATAGCTGTAGTCGTCGATCAAGCCCCGAGAAACCCTCTAGGATGAACTCAGTAACCGCAGTTTCATTTTCTGGTCCCATGTGGAATTTCAGTTCATCCTGCTGAGACTGGAGCACAGCAACAAACATGTGTGGTAATGTTACAGTCTGGGTGAAAAGTTCTATCCTTCCTTTTCTGCTTCTTTCCTTTCTAGCAGTCTTCCTCTATAATACAGGCAGAGAGAGTCCTTTGAGCATTTCTCACACCCTGATTTGTATGTTTTACATTTCATTTAGTCCTCAGAGAACCTGTTGGCTTCTTTCTGCCTTTTTCAAACACTCACAAAGGATCCTTTCTCCAGAACAGAAGATTTTCAAGAGGCTGTTAGCTGTTTCACCCTATTCATGGGAAATACCAAATTCACTCAGACCTGTTGCACACCTCTCTCACACCTATGTGCCAGACTCATTTCTTCTATTGCACGAATGCTAAACTATCAAATCAAACCACATCAAATCCGTATGCTGAAAGCTACGCTTTCTACTTTTCAACACTTGCCTTTTTGGACTAGGAACCCCTGAAAATCTCTTGATTCCAAAATAAGTAATATCAAGTATCTCTTTTGTAATTCCATGCTTTCTTCCACAGCTTCTTGCTCTCTGTTTCCTCAGCAAAGGGGGAGGGGGTGGAGTAGGGACCAAGTATCACTCGTCTTCTTTAGTGCTCTCAACAATGACTGAAATTTATTATGGTTCCACACAGTCTGTCACACAGTCTTGTCTGACATCTGCCTGCACTGAAATGCCGTTGTTTCCAAGCAGTTGCTCACTGATGTTACTATCAGATGTCCTGACCTAAATGCAGAGCAAGAGAAGAGTATCCGGAAGAGATTTGTAACCTTTCTTTCACATGCCAGTTATAGGTTGGGAGAACCCAGCCTCTAGTGTTTTCTCTTGTCTCCACTGACTACAGAGGGAGCCTTGGGAAAACAAGTTCTCACAAGCACCTGGAGGTAATTAGATGAAACTCACTATTCCAGTCTCAAATCTCTGCTTTATTAAGTTACTGTTTTTTCAAAATGAAAATGCTCATCTAGCAGAAGGAAGCACAAGAAAAATACACGCAATAAAGACTGACATTTCCCCCTTCATCTTTACTTTTGGTTTTGGACATAGAAAGGAGCAGAGCAGGTGACTCTCTGCAGGGTTGGATTCGCATAGGTTTTTATGCAAATATCTGTAAGTGTTTAAGCCTTCAAAACACACATTTTATGTTACCATTGTTTCACTTAATGCATATTCTCTGCTGGACTATTTAGAGATCACTTACGAGCATCTTTGTTTACAGATTAAGTTAATTAATGCAGTTAATACAGCAGGGCACAGAGGTGAAACTTTTTTTTTATCTGCTCCAAACACATACAAGAGTCTGCTGGTGTCAAATGGTGTGACATGGTTGAAAACCAAGGCAAGTTTGTTGACAACTTAGCTAAGGTTCATGAACATTTCAGATGAACCTCCAGTAAATTTTCAGTGAACTTGGGCTGACAGAATATTTCCCTTTAAGCAACATGAAAAGAGCCACTTCGAATCCCTTCCAAACTACAACTGTGTGAATAAATGATTTTTCAAGTTCACCTGTAGTTACGAATATTCCAGGGTAACATAAAAACACCCGCATTAGAAATAGCACATTGTCCAATCCTCCCCTCTCCCACCCAAAGCACTGTTTCATTTCAATTGCCTGTATTGAACATGAGCCTTTAACATGAGCAACAAAAGTTTGGAAAGAAAAGACCTGATGAACATGGAAACTCCAGTGCTCTCCACAGGATGCATGACATCTTGGCCATGAACAACCCCATGGTTCAAATGCCCTCTTAAGGCTTTCGGAGCAAGGATTTAAACACTGGCCTTCTGCTTCCCAGACAAGTGCACTAACTCCATGGCTACAGTTTACACTGGAGAAGGACTCTCAATTTGTCATACCAAAGTCACTCCAAGATTACGCTAGGATAAACAGGTGTAGTAATGACTGCACTGCATGACAGTCAGCACACCCCATCAGGAGAGTGATACTTTGGTCACAGCCCTTGTTCCACTGACTAATCCTTCACAGATAGTTAGAGCAATTGGCAAAGAAATAAAATAATGATAATAGGGGAATTCACACTGAGTATTTATAGCTCAGTCTGATACTTCTAACAAAATTGGAGAAAATGGTATTGATCACTGATTGATTCAGGGCTTTATTCCATATACCAGACAGAAAACCAATGCCAGACACCGTGAACTCGTTAATGGTGATTTTCTTAAGGCTCTTTGCCAGTTGCTGCAGTGTAGCTTATTTGCAGCGTGAGGGTAACACGTATCTGATATACACTTAGTTAATTAGTGTAAGTTGGAAATGCAGCATTGCACTTCTTCCTCTCCTGCATATGTGAACATTGGTACCTGTTAAGACTGGAGAGTAACCTTTGGAGAACGTGGTGCCAAAGTGCAGAAAAATGCTCTGCTCCAAGGAAAATGACTGTGCGAGCACCCTTCAATTCCAGCAATGCTACTTTACAGGCCAAGAACACTTCTTACAATTTAAATCCAAACAATCTCATTAGCTTTTCCTGACAGAAAGTATCTGAAGTAAAATTTCTCTTGGCTTCACAATACAATTAAGGTGGGAGGAGATCTCCAGAATGGTCCAAGAAACATTCTCTTTAAAGAGGCACAGGCAAAGACCCCGTGGGAGTGATGCGGGCTCTAAAAGCTCCCTTAATATGCAAAAAAGGAGAACTATTTCCATAATGCTGCAGGCCATACCAGTGTCTACAGTTAATAGAAGTTCGCTTTGAAGAATATGGATTGTAGGCAGTCATCGAAGCCACAAATAGAAATACCTGATATCAGTCTGGGGTGCAAGACCCAATATTCTTTTGAACTAAGAAAGCTCTACATTGTTTTAGCTGAGCATAGAGAAAAAACAAGACAAATTAGGTGCTGATACTGAAAACTCAATACATGCCCTCATTTGTTTATTTATAAAACAAAATGATATCTAAAAGACAACTCCATTCTCGTTTTTTGAGGTTGTGGAAGACATTTTTTTAGTGTTTTGTCCAATAGGAATAAAGCTTTACCTGCTTCTGTCCTTATCTGTTACGAAGGGCTTTCATCTGCAGTGAGGGCAACACAAGGAACGGCTCCCTTGCAGGCTGTGGTATCTGCTATCACTGAAACCTCTCACAAGAGTCCTTTATAAAACTGGAAAGAAAGCCAAGGGAGTTCATAATATATACAGAATAGCAAAGCCCTTACGTAAATGAATGAATGAGTGAATGACTTGTTACGGTAAATACAAACTACTTGAATACTGAATGCTTGCCCTGAACGCAACTCCAATAGAAACATTTGATTTTACTGCTAACAGTACTTATCTCAAAAAATCAAAAGGCAGCTAGCATTGTTGGAAACTGGAACCTTACAGATGTCTAGATATACTGCCTTATGGTAACTGCAGAACCAAGATTATTTTTTTTCCTTTTTCTGACTGATTGCTTTTCAAGTTGTGAGTGGGCATATCTTAATTAATCCAATAATGATTTTTGAGATAGTGATTGATGTAGTTTAAACCTGGCTGGCAGCCAAGCACCACACAGCTGCTCACTCACCCTCCCCTCCCTCGGGGGTGAGGGAGAGAAATGACGGGGTAAAGATAAAGAGACTCGTAGGTTGAGATAAAAACAGTGCAATTTTTTTTTTTTTTTTTTTTTCAGTAAAATGCAAAGGGGTAATGCACAATGTGATTGCTCACCACCTGCCCACTGATGCCCAGCCCATTCCTGGCCAGTGATCCCAGAGAAGTGTAGATCCCAAAACTGGAATCCCAGAAGCGAGAGCCCTCCCTTCCCGACCACCCCTCCTCTATACACCGAGCACGACATTACATGATATGGAATATTTCACTGGCTAATTTGTGTCCAGTGCTGTTGGAGAATGGCTCAGAGACAAGGGTCATGAGCCCACCGAGCAGTTGTACGATCAGAGCCTGTTCTAAGGGCTGATGCTGCCTCGCTGATGCTGGGCCTCACTAGGGTTTGCCTGCAGCTGCTCGCAGCTGCTGATACATGAGGAATGTCAAGGACGCTTCAGCCTTGTGTATCGTTGTATATTGTAAACAAGATAAGAGGAATTGGAAGTAGTGGAATGGGAAACAGTGTTATGAGAAGCTTGTGCTGCTAGCTAACTGCAAGTAGGTGGACCGTGAGAATACGACCTTTAGAGCTTAAGCCAAACAGCTAGTGACTAGTAGGCATAATAATTATCATTGTCTGTATAAATATGTGTACCCTGGACCAATAAAGTGAACCATGCTTTATCACTCACATTGAGTCTGTCTCGGCATTGTTCCTCCGCCGCTCCGCAAGCTAGCGAACACAGTGAAGAAGACTACGAGCCTTCATGTGAAGACCCCTGCCCATGACCACCAGGGAGCACTGCGCAAGCGCGACGGGAGGAATTTGGGGTGGAGGGATATGTTAATGATTCCTCGGAACTAATTGTAATATTCCCTCCCTATCCTTGGAGTAGTGATGCATATGTATTAGGGTAGATGAATATGTAACCATTTATACAATAAAAGGGAGCCCCTTTTGGCTCCAGGGCGTGCCATTGCGCCCAGCCCTGTATTCTTTGCTCCACTGACTTTGTCCCCAATAAAACTTTTTTTATATATACATGGGCTTGTTTCTCACATTTACCTATTTTAGGAGGGTGGGGTATTAATCCCATATGACTTTCTGCTTTTTTACATTGGTTTATACTTGGCTTTCACTAGTGTGACATTCATCTGTAACCCTGTGGTCAGTCTGCTGTGAAAATAATCCTATCGTATTGTATATTCTGTATCCTGTAGGCAAAGATGAAGCAGTTGTTTGAAGCATGGTGAAAACTGTCCGATTCTCAACAGCAGGTATGTCAGTGGGTTTTGGTGAGGCTCTGATCTAATTGGAAAATTACAAACTGGAGTCAAAATTAATAAATTCATAGGAAATCTTGAACTCGGTTGCTCAAAGTATAATACTGAGGACAATACTCTGAGATCTTATTTGTACACCTTGAAAAAGATCGTCATT